TCCCAGGAGGTTGGTAGCTGCTGATGAACAGTGCTCTGAAGATGTTTTCTTGCCTTTCTTGTCTGTACTTTTGGTTTTGTTTTGAAATTAAAAATAGCAGGCTTAGTAGTTTTTGTTTTTAATCCCGGTTTGGCTTCTTCTGAGATGATCTGAGTTTTCCCAACACTTTTGAAGACTTGTTTCTTTTCAGTAAATGACAGCTTTTCCCATTACAAGCTGCTGACTTGGTTTCAGTTACTTCTCTTCCATTTGCTCATCTGTAAAACGGGGAAAATAGCGCCTCCTCGGATTGTGGGGAGGAGGATTAAATGAGGATAAGAGTTAAGCACTGGCCCAGAATAGGTGCTGGGGAGACTCTAGTTTCCCTTCATTTCCCTAGTGGATTGTCTCCATCACTCCAAGGCTTTTTCTAGCCTTATGACTAGACCTTCTAGACCTATACCCTCTGCTGCAAAAGTTTGTGTGATCATTGAGCCAAAACATACAGGATAGTCCAGATTGAGATGTTACAAGTATGAAGTACTAGATCTCAAACACTTGGTTCAAAAATTTTAAAAATAAAATATCATCCATTTTTTTGTATTGCTTATATGTCAAAATATTTTTGCTATATTGGGTTAAATAAAACATTTGCAATGAATTTCACCTGTTTTTTTTTTCATTCTCATGTGGTCACTAGACAATTTTAAATTACATATGACTCTCATTCTATCTCCATTGGACCATGCTAGTTTAGACACATTGTATGCAGAGGGAAAAGTCCAGTAGACGAAGGAGATAAGGCGAGGTGTAAACACAGGGCAGTGTCTTCAGTTTCTAGAATGTATGTTTAACATCTAAGTTTTGTGCTCTTTAAGGGAGCTTATGATGCATTGTTGGAACAAGTTTTCTGAAGTCTTCAAAGCCTACTGCAAACATTTTTTTAGCAGTGTTGTCACTTTAAGAAATTGTAAAAAGAACTGATATCCTCTTTGGTGACAAGGATTCAACCTTTGAGCCTTTCAAAAATGTCAGGAGTCAATTTGAAGTCAAATTTTTATTGAACTGATAAAAATAATCAAGTTGGAAAATATTTTGTATAAAATAGCCCAACATTTTTCTCATCATTCATGACAGACTCAAGACAGTCCTAAAGGAATTTTGAAAAATGTTTCAATCAATAACAGTATGGGTGGAATAAACGTAACTTCCTGGGGACATGTATTATAAGCTTTATAAGGCTTTGTTTTGTATTTAAAATTGTTATAGTTATACTTGAATATATGCAATAGTAAATCTGGGCTGTGCAAAAGGTAACTGTGCTGTCTGCCTCATGGGTGAGTTGGGGGGAAGAGAGCTCCAGTAGAAACAGAAAAGGGAAATGGGACAACTGTGTTCTAGATCATCTGATTGTCTCTTCCTCTTTCTCCTAGATGCTCGTTGCCAACATTGACTTGGGTCCTACTATTTTGGACATCGCTGGCTATAGCCTGAATAGAACACAGATGGATGGGATGTCTTTATTGCCCATTTTGGTGAGTAGAAAGCCCTCAAGCAGGCCTGAGCCAAGACTGAAATAAATTCAGGTTGTATAAATGTAGGCTTAAATCTTAAAAACTACTAAATTTGGGGAACAGAAAATAGAACTTTTCTCTAATCTGTAGTGGGAAGGAATTTCTTAAAAAAAGAAGAAAAAAAAAAAGACCAGACACATAAAAGCAGAGTTCTATATCCTCTCTTTTTCCCTTCTTCCCCCCAAAAGCTCCATCATAAACAAAATTAAGACTAGTGACCAGTTGGGAAAATATTTGCAGCATGTATCAAAAAGGGTAATTAGTCCTGGTAGACGAGTTCTTAGCACAGATTAATATCCTGGTATAAAAAGGGGTAAAAGAAGTGGCTACTCAACTCCCAGAGGAATTAGAAATGGCCAACGTCGATGCAGAAAGATTGCTTCAGTGCTGATCAAAGAAAGGCTTAACTGGTTGCCTCTTGCCTTCTGAGACAGCCCGCACTCTGTCTACAGAGTGTGTATCTCCCTGAATAAATCTTTCACTCTTTAAAAAAAAAAAAGGCTTAACTGAAGGAGGCCTTTATTGCCTGTAGAACAGGGAAGATTAAAAAGATTAATACTGCGTATTTACAGAAGTCTGAGAAAATGAAAGCCTCTCAGCCGGTTCATTGAATTGTAATCAGTATAAGCTGTCAGTAGGCGAACTTAACAAGACACATCACTTCAGAATACACATGTCAAGCAGTTCCACCTGAGAATGCGTTTTAAGACAACAAAATTCATTCAGGAAATACTTGAGTACCTACTGGGCCTGGCACTGCACAGAGCTAAGTGTCAAAACTGTCCATGATGTATTAATACAAGAAAACTGAAAACCTAAATACCCAGTAGGGAACTGGTTAGATTGTGGCACAATTAAACAGTAGACGATTGAACCAACACTGATGTAGATTCGTGTGCACGGACTTGGGAAGATGCTTACCCACATACTGTAGGGCGAGAAGGAGGTTTTAAAACAGCGTCTCTTCCCTGTTAAAAATGCGTGTAAACATGTTAAAGCATAGAGAAGTTTGCAAGGATCAATGCTAGAATGTTCTAGCCATTTATTACTCATTATAGGTAACTCTTCCTCTTTGATTTGTCTGAATCTGTCAGTTTGTTATTAGGTGATAATGATTCATACAGGAGAATACATGTAACTCACATAAGTCATGGAACACAAGAAATACCCACGAGCCTGTCATTCCATGTAAGAACTGAAATATTCCCCATTCTGGTGCATTTTCCTGTATGCTCCCTGCCCATCCCATCCCATCCCATCCCTGCCCCGTAGGAGTGATCACTTTTCTGAATTTCCTAGTTGTTATTCTCTGGCTTTTATTTTTTAGTAATTATCATGTACATACCCCTAAACAACATACCTGTCTTGAGGTGGGGAGATCCTATCTTGTTTTGCACTCTGAAAATGACATCCTACTGGTTGTAATCAACTTTTTTCAACTCAGCATTATTTCCAAATTGATCCGGTTTGTTCACAGATACCGAATATTCCATTGTAAGAATGAGCGCATCACTCCTTAATTATCTGTTTTCTTGTCGGTCAGTGGACATTTGTGGTGTTCTGGCTTGTCTTAGGAACAGTGCTGCCGTAGCATTACTATCCATGTTTCCTAGTGGGCATGTATGCACGCACCAAGGTTACAGCAACCTCGCATATTCATTCCTACAGATGGTACCACGTTACTGTACCAAACTGTCATCAGTTTCCATTCCCACCAGCGATGTATGAGAATTCCCTTTGCTCTATGTGAGACTGTCAGACAACTTAATTTTTGTTAATCTAGCAGGTGAAAAAGACCAAAATTATATTTGGTCCTACTGTGCATTTCTTTATTAATGAGATGAATCATTTTTTAACAGCTTAATTCACGTACTGTACAATTCACTAATTTAAAGTTTAGAGATCACTAGTTGTTGATGTATTCAGAGTTGTAAAACCAACTACACCATAATCTAATTTCAGAACATTTTCATCACCCCAAAAAGAAACCCCCAAATACATTAGCAGTCACTCCCCCAGTACTCCCCCTCCCGGCGCCAGGCAGGCACTAATCTACTTTCCGTCTCTGTAGATGTGTCTATTGTGGACATTCTCTATAAGTAGAATCATACAGTATATGGCCTGTTGTGACTGGCTGAAAACACTGAGCATGTTTTCAAGGGGCATCCCCACTGTAACATATATCAGTACTTCATTCCTGTTTATTACTGAATAATATTGCAGTATATGGATATGTCACATTTATTTATCCATTCATCAGTTGATAGGCATTTGAGTTTCCCCTTTTTGACTATTATGAATAATGCTACTGTGAACATTTGTGTATAAATTTTTGTCTTCCATTCTCTTGAGTATATACCTAGGACTAGAATTGCTGGGTCATGTGAAGACTGTTTAACCTTTTAAGGAATTGCCCGTATGTTTCTAAAGTGACCACACCATGTTACGTGTTCCCACCAGCAGTGCAAGAGAAGGTTCCAGCTTCTGCACATCCTTGCCAACACTTGTTATCTGTCTTTTTATTGTATCTTAGTAGGTGTGACTGGTACTCATTATGGTTTTGATTTGCTTTTTCTCTAATGACTAACCATGCTGAACATCTTGTCATGTGTTTCTTGGACATTTGTATATCTTCTTGGGAGAAATGTCTGTTCAGATCCTTTGCCTTTTTTTAAGTTTTAATTATTGTAAGTATGATTTCTTGAAATATCTTCTTTTAGGGGGAGTAAATTAGGTTTACTTATTTTAATGGAGCTACTGGGGATTGAACCCACAACCTTGTGTGCTAATAAGTACACACTCTACCACTGTGCTATACGCGCCCCCTGCCCATTTTTAAAAATTGAGTTTTTGATCAGCGAATCATCTTTCACTTACACCTTTTGTGTTTCTTCCCTTGTGAAATGCCTCTTTTTGCCCATCATCTTCCTGTTTATGACTTGTCTTTTCCCTACATTGAGGAAACACAGGAACTGAATGTATAAATAGGTTAGCGTTCTTTGTATCTTATTTATACAAATGCTTCTGAATCCTGAGGTCAGAAAACAATTCTCCCAAACATTATTCTAAAAGTTTTATAGTTCTGCCTCTTACATTGAAGTGCTTGATGTGTCTAGAATTGGTTTTCTTGCATGGGGGGTCAGGAATCCAATTTCTTTTTTTTTTTTTCCTGTATAAATACTTGTCTTTTTTGTTCCACAGATCTATCTTGTTATAAAACTGCATAATTTTTTGCATGGGCACACCTCTCTCATTGTTCTTACAGACATCCTGCCACCTCTCTTTTGTATAAACTTCATTTTTCTTTTCTTTTCTTTCTTTTTTTTTTAACTGGAAGTACTGGGAATTGAACCCAAGACCTCATACCCACTAAGCATGCTCTCTACCACTGAGCTATTTCCCTCCCACCATGTAGAGTTTTAAAACAGCTTTTCAGATTGCCTAAAAATTCATCTTGGGCTTTTGGCTAGAATTACACTGATATCTATAGATCCGATAGAGGGAAATTTACATCATTTAACTCTCTCCATATATATCTTACACTGTGTGCCTTAATTACTTCTAATTAGGGGGAAAAACTTCACTGTAGGAGTAAAATCACTGTGCTATTTATAGTTAATTTTTCTGCACGGTTTTGTAAATGACACTTAGGAGTCGGCTCTTTTCCTTAGTTCTGTTTTGTTTTGGAGGTTGGTCTAGTGAAACTTCTGATGTATCAGGGTTGCAGAGCATTTCCTGACTGTCTTGCCTCTAGTCTGCCCTGATACAGCGGCCACTAGCCACGTGTGGCTATTTAAATGAACCAGAACAAAGTGAAAAACTGAGATCCTCAGTAGCACTAGCCACGTAGCAAGTACTCCGAAGCCATTGTGTTGAGCGGCGCAGTTAGAGAACAGTTCAGTCAGAAAGTGCCGTTGTATAGCGCTGCTGTAGAGCAGGGGGCGGAAACCCCTGTGGCCAGATCTAGCCCAGGCTCAGCGTTTGTACATCGTTGTGTCACAGCACAGCCATGCTCATCCCTGTATGTCTGGGCCTGCGTTCCTTCTACAACAGCGGGCGGAACTGAGTAAGCTGCAACAGAGACTGCAGCCGCAGACCCTAAACACTGTCTGGCCTTTGGCAGGAAAAATGTAATGATCCCTTCCAGCCGTTAGTCTCAAACTTGGCTGCACATTCGTATCACCTGGGAAACTAAAATACAGCCCCAGGGAGTCTGATTAATTGGCATGCGAGGTGACCTGGCCCCCTGGGATTTTCAGAGCGCCCCAAATGATTTTAATATGGTGATTTTAATATGCAGCCACGTTGGAGACCGCTGCCCTAGACTTCCCAGATGCTCGTCTCCTCTGCGTACTTTGATGTTCAAGTGTGGGGTTTTGAGGTTGACTCAAGTCTGACAGATAAGCTCTTGCCCTGACTCCCCACTTCCAGGGCTCGGAGTTGGCAGAGTGGGAACATAGACGGGAGTTGGTGGCTTCGGAGGTCTCCCAGGACTTAGGGTTTCTGAGACCTTCATCTGCTCAGGATTGTTTGGGTTTCATGATAGAGCAGTGGTTCGGAAATAACATTCCTCTCTGACTCTCCTTTATCAGGCAGCTGTGGCATTCCACGGTCTTGTGCGGGTGATCACCCGTCCCCCCGCTGTGGGCCCCAAGTTAAGCAGGCCCACTCCAGTCCTGGAGCAGTGCTTCTCAAACTAGCGTCCCTCAGCAGTGCCTGGGGGGCTCGTTAAAATGCGGATCGCTCCCCCCCACCAGCAGTGGGGGTTGTTATAACAAGTTCCCCCGCTGATGCTGCTGGGGAGGGGCCCCGCTTTGAGTGCTGCTGTTTTAGAGCAGTGCTTCTCAAATTTTACTGTGCATGTGAGTCACTACAGGGTCTTATTAAAATGCGGACTGTGGCCCATGAAGGCTGAAGTAGGGCCTGAGATTGTGCATTTCTGACAAGCCCCCAGGTGTTGCTGGTAGACCGCAAACCAGACTTCGGGTGTAGACCATTTTAAGAGCTCCTCCCACCTGGCCTCCCTACCTCCGTGTCTTCACCCCATCTCTAGATTCTGCTGCTGGGCTGATTTTTCAAAAGCACAGCCTTAATTACATTACTTCCCTGCTCAAAAACCTCCCGTTGCTTCCTGTCACCTGCTGTTCTTTATAGAACCAGCGAGCAGCCTGCTGTCAGGGCCTTTTCCTGGATGGTTACCTGCCTGCCTCTCCACCCTGCCTTGGCACTGCCACTTGGTCTGAAGGCTGGAGATGGGGAACCCGCCAGGCATTCTGCTTCCATCCTGTGCTCGTGTTGTTCTTTTGATCCCAAACGTCCTCTTACTCCCAGGTCCTTCCCCCTTTCACTATTGTGTGCCTGTCTTAAACTTGCCCGTTTCAAATGCTGCCAGTTCCCTTCTCCTGCTCCACTAACGTGCAGTGAAAATTAAATGTGTTCATATTTGTGTGATACCTTCATTCTGATCATCAAGAAGTACTCTGAACCTGCTACAGTCCCGAGCACACCAGTCCTGTTTAACTTCTCAGCAGGCGCTTAGAACAGCTTTTACAGAGTTTACAGACTACCGTTTATTCTGATCTGAACTTGGAGCACCTTGCACTGTGACTTTGAGTCTCACTTAGCTGCTTGGTTGCTCCCCATTCCTGACCTGCTTTATGGAAGGAGTCTTGGGAAGTAACTGGCAAATGCTCAAAGCGTTTGAGCTCACTTGTGAGGGGTCTATAGAAACCAAACACGACCCTCGGTAGCCATCATGTGCCTCCCTTTTAGTCATTCCCTGTAGTTACTGAACGAACAGTCCAATTTTGTTTTGACTCCCAATTCCCCTTTAGCAGTGGAGTGAATAACTTTGTGATCCTGATCCTTACCAGTCTGTGCACCTCACAGAAACCACTTTTGGTCTTCTTCCTAGACAGGAGCCAGTAACCTGACTTGGCGATCAGACGTCCTGGTGGAATATCAAGGAGAAGGCCGTAACGTCACGGACCCAACGTGTCCTTCCCTGAGTCCTGGAGTGTCTGTGAGTAACACCGGAGTGGGCTTACCAGCCTCCTCACTGACAGCACAGCAGGGCTTAGATGGGCCAGGTGCTGAAACCCTTAATCTGAATCCTGTTCCTGCCACTTGACTTTGTCACTTGATTATAGATTAGGAGATGGACAGAGGTAAACTCGATAATCCTGAAAATGATATTGCCAGCCTGTTGTTAGAATGTGCACTTCAAAATCTTCCAGTCTTCGTAACAGGGGCACATATCTGCCCGTCTCCTAACCTCGTCAGTACCCCTTTCTGTTTCCCTCCCCGTCCTAGTCGTGGTACCATTTTTTAATGGGGATGTTATCAGTGGCCTCCAGTAGAGACGGGGCTCCAGCCTGTAATTGTGCCACCGCTTGTGTCTTTCACTGGTGGCAGCCAGGCTGGTCCTAGAAGTGGCAACAGTGACATTAGCCTCTCTTTAGAGAATGGGAAATAGGAGTCAGCTTCAGAGAGAACCCTAACACCAAAGTGTTCCGATGTAGTAAAGACATGATGAAATATGCTGTCCTATTTGCTGATAAGAACACTCGTAAGTAATTGGAAATGATTCCACAAAGCTCATTTTAGCCTCTTTCTCCCATCCTTTAGGATGACAGATCCTAGTATAACTTAGTCGTGATTCATCTGAGTATTGATTTCTTCTCTTTACCACCACACACGTTTTAGAGGTGCTCATCACGACTAGCTCTGGTCAGGAGATGAGCAGGCAGGGATGGCAACAGTCTACAACCAGAGCCACCACACCCCGTGTTCCTTCATTGAATTAGCCATCAGCAGGAGACAGAGCCTCACGTCTAACTTCAGTTACTTCTATGTGGAAGGTTTCCTCACTTCTGTCCAGTCGTATATCTGTCTGGAGCCAACCTGGTTGCCCCTGTAAGCAAGTTGTGTTTGTTCCTATAGAAGAATGATCTTCGTTTAACTTTTTTAATGTCCCTCCAGCAATGTTTCCCAGACTGCGTATGCGAAGATGCGTACAACAACACCTATGCCTGCGTGAGGACCATGTCAGAACTGTGGAATCTACAGTATTGTGAGTTCGATGACCAGGAGGTAAGAGGGCCTGCTGCCTCCTCCACCCCTTGTGTCTGGGGCCAGGGCTGTGGTGGCTGGAGAGCAATTCCCAGGATGCTCCCCGGGAAGATGTGCTTCCTACCTATACTTCCACTTAGGTTCCCCTCAGTTAAGGAACCGGAATTCCACGAGGCCAGACTTCTCTGACCTTTCTCGGTGGTTTCTACCACTCCCAGCACTGCCCGCAGACACTTTAAATGCACACAGTTGACTTTTTTGGAATGCTGCACGCCTGGTCTGTTTGCTTCCCTGATAGTTTGGGGTGAGAGTAAGACACCTCAATTTCTGTGCAGAGGAACGGAGTTGGGGCCTTTCCTAGAAAGCTTACTGGCCACCAGCTTGTTCAGACCCTCTGCCCCTACCACCGCAGAGTCCAGTGCTGGTGCAGTACATGAGCAGTGGAGGTCAGAGGTGGCAGCCTTGGAGGAAGGTGGCTTTTAGCCAGCCCAGATCAGTGGATTATCTGCAGGATCACAGGGACCCCAGCCCTCGGATTTCCTACTGTTTATCGGCGAGCGCCCGCCCACCCCATCTGGCAACCTGCTTTCTGCCACGTGGAGCCAGTGCTCATGGCGTTTCTCAGAAGTTGACTCGCTCACTGTTTGTAGCTTGTATGCACTTGGGACAACAAAGGAGGGCTTCCCTCAGCCGCGGGTCCTTCCCCTTTGTTACTGATGGTCTGAGGGAAGCCACTTAGAGCCCTGACGGCCAGAATTTATCTACATCTTCTTAGCCTATCCTTGACTCCGGCTTGGAGAACAAGGTACAGACTGGGGGAAGCATGGTGGTATTAGCCGTGTCTAATGTTAGAAGTACTATCTTCTTCCTCAGTTGGAGTTGTACCTCCAAAACCGGTTTTTAAAATAGGAGAACTCAACGTTTTTATAACACAGGTTAGGGTACTTTCATATCTATTCTCAGTTGAGGTAAAAATAAGACTTCAAATGTCAGTAATAAGGTTACGGGGTGACGGCCAAGTCTAGTTTCTGAGCCCTTGTCATGAGAAGGTCCTGCCTTCCGTTAATTACGGAAGGTCATGTAAGTTTCTTCCCTTCTCCCCTCCTGACTCTGCCTGAAGGCACAGGGACACTGGGTCCCCTTTCCAGCCTGGGCCACAGACCTGAAGCAATTTAACCCCCAGAACAGATGCTCCATTGTCTGCTGTATACCCTTGGGCTCCTTGAGAGTCTTGAGACCGGATGATAATTCTCCTGGCCCTGGGTTTTATCTGCTTCCTCCCTTCCCATTTAGCAATAACTCAAAGGAGGAGTATTTCTTCAGGCGTAACCCTTGCTCCCCTCCCTCCTTCATTCCTGTAGGTGTTCGTAGAAGTCTACAACCTGACTGCAGACCCACACCAAATCAGCAACATTGCCAAGAGTATAGACCCCGAGCTTTTGGGAAAGATGAACTACCGGCTGATGATGTTACAGTCCTGTTCTGGGCCGACCTGCCGCACTCCAGGGGTTTTCGACCCCGGGTAAGTGTCGTCTTCAGTGACTGCCCAGCTGTCTCCAGCATTCCTGCCGTTCTTGAAGGCCAGGGCTACCTCTTCGGTCTTCCTCGCTCTGAGCTGAGCTCTGTTCTGCTTCTCAAGGGGGTACTGTGTCTTAGTGCTGCAGCCTGTTGGGCTGGGGAAGTGTGAGCTGCTGGAAACTCCTGCTCTCCCCTGCCAGCTGGTGCCTTAGCTGGAGGGCAGCCCTGCTCCCCCCCTTCCTGTGGTGCCACTCGATTCACTGGTGACACCTGGGGCTTCTTTAGAGTAAGCTGACCAAGAGTTACTCTGCTCCCTAGCACTTCTGAGAGCATATGCCTTCATTTCATTTCTCAGAAACCCCAGTTATAGAAATGTGAGTACTTGCCAGTAACTCTAATAAATACACAAAATGAAATAGAAATAGAAGTAGATGAAGGTAGGAAAGATGTTTAACTCACCTCCCAAGTCAGCCTTGTTCCT